ATATAATATATATAATAAATGTATAGTATAAAATAAATTGTCTAAAATGTGACGCTACTTATGTGGGAAAACCAAACGATTATTAAAAACAAGAATTGATGAACATTGTAAGCATATAATAGAAATACAGGTCAGAATTCGGTAATTACAGAATATAGATTAGAATGCAATCATGATTTCGATTGGAATAACGTCGAAATTTTAGAAGAAAGAGTTCTCAATAGATGTCTTATTTCAGAAACAATACAGGGCCAAAAGTCTGGACACAAATATTTCATAAAGGATGGAAGAAATGCATTTTAGAAAAAAATGTTTCTCACAAAAATTCTAAGGCTTAAAAAAATGCATTCAACGATAGTTATTTAATCTAGGATGGCTTTATCAAGATTAGATCAAAGTCATCATGAATTTTTTAAATGGAAATTTCCTTTTTCATTACATATTCTTGTAGTTTATCTCGAAAGCTTTCCAAAATTATAATTAAATTCATTTTCATTAAGTATAGTACCGCCGACATTTAGCAAGATGCCGACAGCTAAAACCTCTTGAATGGTGTTCAGAATCATGTTCGGAATAATATTTGTTAAGATCAAGATCACTGAAGATTGTTTCTCTTATTTTCATTTTTACATAAAAATGAATTTTCAGTGCAAAAATGAAAATAAGAGAAACAATCTCTAATAACCTTGATCTTAATGTCAAGAGATTTTAGCCGTCGATCAGATATCTTGAATAAGCTAATGCCGGTACTGTAACTTTCAAGCCTGATAATTTGCAAAATACTTAATAAAAATGAATTTAATTATAATATTTTGGAAAGCTCTTGAGATAAATTACAAGAATATGTAATAAAAAAGAGGGAGTTTTATTTTAAAAATATTGATCTTAATCTGATCTTAACAATGCTTCTATTAGCTATTAGTGAGTCAAATAACTACTATCATTGAATGCGTCTATCTTTTTAAGCCTTACAACTTTTGTAAGAAACATTTTTTTTTTAAATCGTTTATGAGATATTTGGATGTATCCAGACTTTTGGCATACCTTGTATATTAAAAAACAGAGAAACGTTTTATATATACAGAGCGATATGGATCTATTGAGTCATCCGTTATCATATCATTTGTTTGTGGGTGAATGCTGCTTCCATATTTGTTAATCTTATTTCTGATAAATGAGTTTGCTATTCTCTTATATCTCTCTTATAAATAAATTGAACTCAACGTATTCAGTTCTCTTATTATATTGTACAGAACATCGTTAATTTGTTTCTCAAGTAAGTAATAGTGCACAATTATTAATTTGGTATTAGTCAACATTCTTTGTTAAAATCTCGTTTTTTATTTTTATTATAATGACTTTCTTCATAGTCTGAGAATTCGATGAGATACGACGATTACAGTCTTGACGAAAATTACAGCTTAATGATATATTTTTGACAACATATTATATATTAAATATGAATGGAATTCAATATTTCTGAAGAATTATATATTTTTTGCACTTTGAAGAGAACATATTGATGTCGAAACGTCTGTAATTATATATTATAGTATGAAATATTTTTTAAAAAACTATTTAAAAAATTAAATTATTATCACGTGTTCAATGTGATAATAATGAATCATGTATTCACAAAAATATAATATAATTATATACGTTTTGACATCAATTGAACATCTGGTGCAGGCTCTCATTGGCAAATTTTCTTAGTTTTTTTGTTGATAAACAAGTAAAATTTGAGTTTTAACGAATAAATCAACATAAAAAAGTAAAATGCTTTTGCGAGTCTCTGCTCATGAAAGGAGAGGAGAAAGAGAGAGAGACAGAGAGAGAGAGAGAGAGAGAGAGAGAGAGAGAGAGAGAGAGAGAGAGAGAGCGTATGGAAATAATTTATATTAAACTTCTCAGATTAAATAATGATAACACTTATTCCTTGAGTACATATGTTTCATCCTGGAGCTTCTTTAACAATTAGAACCAGAATAACAAAGAATCTATGATTACTTAGACATAATATTCTCAGAAGATAAAGAAGAAAAGAGTTGAATTCATATTATCGAAAAAAATATATACAGTGAGTACAAAAAGTATTCGTCCAGAAAATATTTTTTAAAAAACTATTTAAAAAAATTAAATTATTATTTAATGAGAAATGAGTTATCGAATTGATATCGATCAATATCGATACAATGATTTCAACCAATTCGACGTTTAATTGATGATCATTTTTTGCTGGGTAATTAAGAATTTATTTATAAAATATAAAATAGACTATATGTTTCTTAAAATTATATATACCAAAAAGATGTGTATTAATTAGAAAATGTATCATCTAAGCAAAAAATTAAAGCAAAAAAAGCAAAATAAGCAAAAATAAGCAAAAATTAAAAGTTCCGTTGTTTGGATGCTCAAAAAGTATTCATACAATCGAGAAATTTAGCTTGTTATATCAGAAATATACATGCGAAGCTCATTTGTATATGTTAGAATAGAATATATTCATTGTATAAAATTGCTAATTAATGTTTATTTTCTATAAATAACTTTTTATAAAAAATTTCCTTGTACTTTTTACTCTCACTGTAAATTTGACTTTCGAAACAACAGATCATCATCTTTCCTCATTTTTAATGCAATTAGTGTAAGTCCAAAATTATTAATTGATCTGTTGTTTCGAAGGTCAAATTTATAATGAAAGCAAAAAGTACAAGGAAATTTTTTGTAAATATTAAAGTCAAATGTGTTACATCAATTTTGCAGATAAATATAAAAATATGGAGAGAGATAACACTTGCGAAATTGATATAACACATTTGACTTTCAATAAGATATCATAGTACAGACATTATCTCTTCTCATGTCATATAATGTATTAGATAAAAAAGTGAAGAGGATTCATATTTAAGACCGAAACATGTATATGTATTCGAAATAAATTTCATCACTATTTAATTTGAGAGATTTAATTTAAATTATTTCTATACGCTCTTTCAAAGCGAAGGCTCGCAAAAATATTTTACTTAGTTATATGTTAAAAAACGAAAAATCTCGATTTTTTTTTAAATGTAATTTTAATTCATAAAAATAATGTATATCGTGTATTTATTTTTCGCTCATTCTAAAATATACATATATTTTCAAAATCTGTCAAATTAAAAATGATTTCAACTTTATTTTATATATATATATATATATACATACATACATACACTATTAAATGATTTCATCTTTGTTATAAACTTTATTATAAACTTTTTATTATATAATGTTATGCAGATATCAATTCTATATCAATAAAATAGAATAGAATTCATCTTTTCTTTAATTATATTTGTATAATTTCATTCGATTGATTTATTTACAATGCATCGAGGAGCACTTCCTCAAATTTCTTACAAATCACGAATAGATGTAACAAGACCTAAAAAGTTGTTCTAGTTGTGCATTGAGAAATGTAACAAGAAAGATAATTCAAGTTTATTTACGCATTAAATCTGTAGATAAGACATAATCATAAACGATAAATAAAATTTTATTGGATCTAATCTGACTTAAAAAAAATCATTTATATCTTTCTTAGAATACACAGACACATGTATGCAAATATAATAAATTGATAACTTACTCGAGTACTTATATGTACTTTTCTCTCGTCATCCACAGCTATTTACTGATCCATCAGACCTATTCCTTCAGTTTCCAAGACTTCTCATTAGAGTTAATTTTATTTAAGACTTCTATCTCTCTCCAGTTATCTTGGATATTTAACAAAATAATAAAATAGCCAATTTCTAGCGAGTGATCATTTTTCAGATATTTTTTTACTTAGATACTGTATCCATTATGGATAACAGAATCGAAATACACGTGCAGGAAGGAAAGTTAATTGGCATCATAGAAAAAGGTGTTTATGATGATTATTACATAGCTTTTCGAGGAATACCATATGCGAAACCACCGATTGGAGAACTTAGATTCAAAGTAAGTAAATACAATTCATAATAACAAATCCATTTTTATAAAAATTAACTCTTTGAAAAATTACGATTAATCAATCATAAAACTGTTCATTATTTATAATTATTATATAATCTGCTTTTCATTTATTAATATATATCATCAAAAAATCCAGAGCACTAAAATATCTCGAAGACGATCGAGTAGCAAAGAATAGTAAGAAGCAAATTTGTAGGGCTAAATAAAATATCGTTAACAGAGTTTGCAATCGCATATGGAAGTCAAATTGAATTTTTTTGGAATGGAATCTCCCATTTTTATTGCACATTCTTGAAGCTTATTTTAAAAGCTTTTTTAAAATACTACAATAAAGCTTATTTGAAAAAGAAATAATAAAATGGACATCGTCAAATTTATGCGAAACTTAGATCACTCATTCGTTAGCTTTAAACGTTAATTGTTCATTTAAGAATTACTTAAATACAATTTTGCATACAAAAAATACAATTATTTCTTAACACAGAGAATCACATGCAATTTTTAGGATCCGGTACCAGCAGAACCATGGTCCGGTAAAAGAGACGCTTCAAAATATGGAAACATCTCCGTTCAAATAAATAATTTTACACATGAAATTAACGGCAGTGAAGATTGTCTTTATTTAAACGTGTACACCACGAATATTAAACCTTCGAAGAAACATGCAGTAATGGTGTGGATACATGGTGGTGCTTTTTATCAGGGTTCTGGTGATGCAATCATGTACGGTCCCGATTATATAATGCAGAAAGATGTAATTTTGGTTACCTTGAATTATAGACTAGGCGTTCTAGGTACGTTATTCGTTTCAATATGTATCATTGTCACATATCATACACACATTTATGTTTAACATTTTAATATAGTAATTGTTTAGATGTCTTCTGTTTGAAATAAGTCACTTAGACATAGTCCAAATAAGTTAATACAAAAAGTTTATAATTCACATTTTGTTTATAGTATGTCATTACAAAAATCTATGTTTGTGTTTATTATTTATTTTTTACATATAAGATTATTTAAATTTGCTGATTAATATTATAAAAACTATAATTTTAACACGATTTGCTTTAAACATAAAGTAATCATCTATTTTTAACTAAGATAAATCAACTTTAGAAAAATTCATTAATGATTTTAGGTTTCCTGAATCTCTACGATAAAGTGGCGACAGGTAATCAAGGTCTGAAGGATGTGATCATGGCGTTACAATGGGTGCAGAAAAATATATCAGAGTTCGGAGGAAATCCAGATAATGTCACTATTTTCGGCGAAAGCGCTGGCGGAGCCATCGTACATTATTTAACTCTGTCTCCGTTAGCTAAAGGTACAACGCATTTTGTCGGTAAAGATTTATCGATACATTTAATAATTTAGAAACCCAAACCCCGTTGCATTTAATCATGAATTTATTCATAAGTCTGTGATGCTATATTTCAAAATTCTAATACATTTGTAAATAAAAAATAAAAAGCTCTGCGAATATATTAAACAGATAATAAATTTATATTTTTCTCTCTCTTTTAATCAGTTTCTAATAAAACATACTCCTCAAAAATTTTTTGTAAGTTTTGAATGTTTAATTTAAATTATAAAGTCTATAAATATTAATGAAATGTAAAATTTATAAAACAACTAACTTTCCTACAGACTATATATATATATAAAATAATGTGTTAATAATTACCAATGGCAAAAAAGCACTTCTTCCACTATGAAACTAAACGGATGACTCTGTTTATAAAATTCTTTGGGCTAGGATTGAATCCACTCACAAATACCTTCCTGTTATGCTGCGTCCGAAATTTCCTGTCTTTCAAATTCTTCATCAGTATTTCTGTTACTTCTGACATCAATTCGATATTGTCGTTATATACCTTTTTGATTACGTATAATATCAATACAATGTAAGAATATCGACACTGTCGTTAAAAGTTACAGACTTGCTATATAGGTTTCCAAAGATGTGGAAATCGCATAGCGATTTCAGTTCCGATGAGAAATACTGAAGCACTCGGCCTACAACCTGGACATGTCAACATGCGACATATCTTTGGAGACTCGAACTAGAATCTGAAAAGCAGAAAATTTCTGTTGAACGTAATAGTGATTGAGAGATTGTTTGCGGGTAGGTACGATCCCAGAAGTTTTATGAACAGAGCATCCATCGGCTGGTTTTACAATGGAAGAAATGTCTTATCAGTATGGCAATTATTAACATGTTGATTTTATATTTGAATTTTTCATCTGTTAC